GTATAATAGCATCATTAGTACTTTTTTCGGTCTGAACCCAAACTGACGAGAGTTGAGTATGTGAGTATGTTGTAGGATACGAAGTAAGAGTAGACTTGTTTGTGTGTTAATTTTTCGAAGATTTTAGATAGCAGGGGCAGGTTTGATATAGGCCTATAATTGTTCAGTTCAGTTGGATCACCTCCTTTGAGGATCGGGGTGACTCATTCTGTCTTGAGTATGGATGGGAAGGTGGAAGATTCAGTGGATTTGTTAAAAAGAGTTGCAATAATTAGTGACAACACATGAGAAGCTTTTTTGTACATGAGTGGTGGTAAGTTATTTAGGTCCCCTTTCTTGTTCTTTAGTGTTTAGATGATAAGTGAGATTTCGGTAGAGTTCATTGGGGCTAAAAATAGAGTACGTGTATTAGGGTGGTTGCCAGTGAGGTAGTCTTTTGGTTGAATGTTTGAGCTTGGGATTTTATTTGTTAGTTTTGTTCCTATGGTAGAGAAAGACATTAACCCTTTGACTGTTTCGGTTGTATATATACGTCTTACGAGCCACCGTGTTTGACGTATATATACTCATAAATTCTGGCAGCTTCAAATCAAGCAGGAGAAACCTGGTAGGCCCACATGTGAGAGAATGGGTCTGTGTGGTCAGTGTGCACCATATAAAAAAAATCCTGGAACACATAGTGCATGAGAAAAAAAAACTCCGACCATTTTTTTTAATAAAAAGGCCGACTTTGTGATCTATTTTCGTTTAGTATTTATGGTTGTATTCTCGTTTTCTTGGTCTCCTTTGATAGAATGGAAAACATAATATAGAAATAGAGGTGATTTGATTTTTTTTTTTTATAAAAAGAACCTAGAAATGGAGCTCAAAGTAGGGGAAATGTTTGATTTTTGCCGATGTTCAAAAGTAAACAAATGATGTCATTGTCCAATAAACGTCCAACTAGCCATTCTAATATGCAGTCATGAATGGGTTGACATTATTTGTATAATTATTACAGTATTGCAGTGGTCTGCATAACAGTAAATCTTCTATTTTTTGGTTTGAATAAAATTTCAAAATAGAAAGCAAGAGTAATATCAGAGGGGCCTGGAGACATGACTGATGAACAAAGAAAATGTTATTTTAGAGCCATGAATGTCTGCATTGTTTATTCTGGACCTTATTTTGAAATTGTCATATTTTTTAATTTTCGTGAAATTGGCCAAATTGCAAATTTCTGACCATGTTATTGGGTAGTTGAAATCGGTAAATGGGCAGTTTCTTGTACTCAATCTATAGAAAAAGCGGAGTTTTAAAGAAATAGCTATGAGTTTGGTCGACTGGAACAATGGAATTAGCCGAAAATAGGGCTCAAAGTGGGCGAAATCGCCGATTTGTAAATATTGCTGAGGTCGCTAACTTTGCGAGAGCATAATTCCGTCGGTTTTCCATCAAATTTCATTCTTTTGGTGTCATTACAATCGGGAAAAGATTCTCTATCATTTCATAAGAAAGATTTTTTTTTTGCTACAGGATACACCTCAGGATTGGGGGTTGCAACAGTCAAGGGGTTAAGCTTGTTGGCAGTATCTGTTGGCTGTTTTGTGACAGCTTTTTTGTTCCTAGAATTTCAGATAAGGTTTTCCAGGTTTTTTTCATATCACCTTTTATGTCATGAAATCTGTTTTCATAATACAGTTTTGTGAGATACTTTGTTATTAGACCCATTCTGTACTGTGTTTCATATAGATTTTTTTTATCAGTAGATTTGAGGATGCTGTTTGTAAGCCAGGGGCTGTTTAGTCTCTTTGTTGTGATCTGCTTAGTTTTTATTGGGCAATGCATGTTATAGAGGTTTTGAGTTTTTTGTAAAAAAATATTAACACCTTCATCAATATCGAAGTTGTCTGCTAGCTCATTTTGCCAATGTCACTAAATGCTGAAATGAAGTTATTAACCCTTTGACTGTTTACATCGTATATATACGTCTTATGCGCCACTGTTTCTGACGTATTTATACGCGTAAGTTCTAGCAGCTTCAAATCAAGTGGGAGAAAGCTGGTAGGCCTACATGAGAGAAAGTGGGTCTGAGTGGTGGGTGTGCACCCTGTGAAAAAAATCTGGGACTCAGTGGTGCATTGTGGAAACGCCTTCTTGGTAATCCATTTTCACCATGCCTCACAATAAGAAGTACCTCACTCCTCGGCAGATTGGAGGTCTTTTGTTCCCAACTGATATCTCTAACAGTGATGAAAGTGTCAGTGAAAGTGAATTCCATGGTTTTCAAGCAGGTGTGACCGAAGAAGTGCCCAGGATAACGTAATTAGTGATGAAAACCCAGATGACCCACGACCTTCCGCCTCTGGTGCTGGGCCGGCTCGTTCACGTTCACGTTTACCTGTACCAGGACGAAAGAGGAAACTATTTGTCCATGTACAAGACTCAGATGTGAGCAGTGAAAGTGATAGTGATAGTGATTTCAAAGTTACTGAAAGCAGTTCTAGTTGTGACAGTGAGGGCGAATATTCCCCAGTGAAGCGGCAGCATATATGACGTAGCATGCGGTCTGGTAGTGTTTCATATGCTGTTCCAAGGGGAAGGAGTAAATCTCGGAGCACATCCTGTGGCCCTACACCACGACCTGATAGTGAAGATGACGATATTGTTACGATGGGTATGAATGACGTGAGTGAGGCAGCAGGTGGTGGTGGTGATAGTGATGGTGGCATGAGTCATGTGGCACCGGTAGCGGGCCACGCTACTACCCACGCTGCTGACTCTGCACAACCAGCCTCACCCAGCCCCACACTCCCACAACCTGCACAAAACATTGCAATATCCAGAACCTACCAGCAGACCACATCTGGGATTGGCAACAAGGTGACGAGTTTGTTCCCAGTCCCCATGACTTTGATGAAACACAAAGTGGAATACGGCCATCGTGTACACTTGGGAACAATGCTACTGAACTGGAATGCTTTCAGTTATTTTTCGATGAACCCTTGATGGACATTATTGTCAGGGAAACCAACACATACTATGAGTACACCATGGCAAATACAATTCTCTCGCCAAGATCACGGCTACACCAGTGGAAGGACACAACTGTGGCAGAGATGTACCTGTTTTTTTGCCACAATAATGCTTATGCCACATGTGTATAAGCACACTGTCACCACATACTGGGCAATAGAACGCCTGATTTCAACCCCAGGTTTTAGTGACATTATAGGTGTGAATCATTCCTTGATGCTGTTATGTATGTTAAACTTGTCAGACAAAACAAGGTTTGACAGAAGCGACAGGTTATATAAGATCAGAAATGTGTTTATGTACCTGAAATAAAAGTGTTGCATGTATTTTTATCCCTTCAGGAAGCTTGTTATTGACGAGTCATTGATTTTATTCATAGGAAGACTCTCATTCAAGCAATACATACCAAGCAAGAGGAAACACTTTGGTATAAAGTTATTTGTACTGTGTGATTGCAAAAGTGATCTCGTTTTGTATATCATTGTGTACACTGGCAGTAATACATTGAGAAATACCAGGAAGTTATTGGGTATCTCTGGTGATGTGGTTCAAACAATGATGGAACCATATCTTAGTAAGGGGCATATATTATTTACTGATAACTGGTACACAAGCCCCATACTCAGTGATTTCTTGCGAGTGAACCTGACAGACGTGTGTGGCACAGTGCATGGTAATCGTAAATATATGCCAAGGTTCGACGCTGGCACTTGCAGAGGTGAGGTGCAAGCCTTTGCTGCCAATGACATCATGGCATTTCGGTGGCATGACAAACGTGATGTCACATTGTTGATATCAGTTCACCAAAACGAAATGGCACACACTGGCAGGCACAATAGAGAGATCAATGAACCCATTCTAAAACCTGCAGCTGTCATGGACTACAACCTCAATATGCGCTTAGTGGACAAATGTGACGTGCAGATTGGGTTTGTTGATTGTGTACGCAAGAGTTATAAGTGGTATATAAAACTTTTTTTCCATCTTGTTGATATTGCCATGCTAAATGTTTTTAACATATACAAGTTGAGGACCAACAGCAAACCAAAATATGGTGAATTTTGTTTGTCGGTCATCAGACAAATAATCGCCTAGTACCAAGGAGCAACACCTGCAATAGACCAGCGCCCACAAAATTACCAACACACGCCATCTCGTTTGAGGCCTGGTGATCACTACCCCATACAACTGCCTCCTACTGCTTTCAAGAAAAATGCTCAGAAGAGGTGTTTTGTATGTGGACATACCACAAACACACAGACACACTCGTTTTATGTTTGAGGAGTGTCAAGTGCCACTCTGCATATACCCATGTTTCAAAGAGTTACACAAGCTGCAGCAGTTCTAGGAAAGTGTTCAGTGACTGTACATATGTATATATATTATGGAACAATAGTAATAAACAATGTTTTGTATTGTTTTTGTAAAAAAGTTTTATACACAAACTAATAGTGATAATGTTTGTTCAGTTATTGTGTTGTAAACAATGAGTGTATATTTGAACAGTGCACCTTACTTTGATCTCACAGGCCACATAAGTTACTTAGAAAAGAAAAATATTGGAAAATACAAGAAATTTTCGAATTGGAGTAAATAAAAGAATACCGGGTGGGCGGCATTTGCTGCTGTTGCCATACACCGCTCATTTTCTGCCAACTTTGTGCCTCTGTATCTCAGTAAGTACTGATGGCAAAAATTTTTTTTAGGCTTAAAGCACTCAGTAAAATAATCCTAACATTTTGGTAAGAAAAAAATTTTTTTTTTTTTTTTTTGAATATTTTGCAACATAGAATGACAAGTTTCAGAAAGGGGGCTGCGACAGTCAAAGGGTTAACAGATGACTCGTCATGTAATCGGAATGTGATCTTAGTTGTGTCCTGGGGCACTTTACACAAGTTGGTTATGAGAAAGATGGGATAGTGGTCAGTGGTGTTATCTGGTACGGTATACTGTTCTGTATAATTTAGTATAATTTTTTCTAACAGTGCAAGCACTCCTGGAGGCAGGTGTGAATCCTGATTCAACAAATGAGGATGGGTTGACAGCTCTGCATCAGTGCTGTATTGATGACTCTGAAGAAATGATGAGACTCTTGGTTCACCACGGAGCTGATGTAAATGCTCAGGACTCTGAGAAATGGACTCCTCTTCATGCAGCTGCAACCTGTGGCCATCTTCATCTTGCCAAGTTCCTCATTGCCAAGTGAGTTATATTCCAAAAATTATGTTTTATAATTTGCTAAGTTTCACAGTTATAAAAAGGTTTTGTTGAACATCAAATTCCAGGGTATAATTAAAATTTGTCTTGGATAAAAAGACTTTTGTTGCCAGAAAACACCTTTATTACTGCTACACATTTCATCCAAGGCTGAGGTTTATCAAGAGTTTGCCTTCTCCCACAGCCCAGCCTTAGGCCAGGACAAAATGAACTGTAGCAGTAATTAACCCTTTGACTGTTTCGGCCGTATATATATATACATTTTACGAGCCAGTGTTTCAGACGTATATATACTCAATAATTCTAGCAGATTCAAATCAAGCAGGAGAGAGCTAGTAGGCCCACATGTGTGGTCAGTGTGCACCATATAAAAAAACCTGCAGCACAGTGCATAATGAGAAGAAAAAACTCAGACCATTTTTTTTAATTAACCCTTAAACGGTCCAAACAAATCGACGTTCAAATTCGTAGCGCTACAAAAGTAGATCTACTTTTTTTAACATATTTTCATATGTAACAAAAAATAAAATGTAGATAAAAGTTTTTTTCACACGTTTTCAAATATAAAACAAAAAAGAAGATTACATTTTTTTACATACTTTCAGATGTTGAAAAAACGTATATATACGTTTGGACCATGTAAGGGCTAAAATGCTGACTTTGTGGTCTGTTTTTGTATAGTATTTATGGTTGTATTCTCATTTTCTTGGTCTCATTTGATAAAATGGAACACATATTATAGAAACAGAGGTGATTTTGACTCATTTTACTATGAAAAGAACCTTGAAATGGAGCTCAAAGTAGGGGAAATGTTTGATTTTTGCCGATGTTCAAAAGTAAACAGATGTCATTTTCCAATAAATGTCCAACTAGCCATTCTAATATGCAGTCATGAATGGGTTGACATTATTTATACAATTATTACAATATTGCAGTAGTCTGCATAACAGTAAATCTTCTATTTTTTGTTTGAATAAAAATTCAAAATAGAAAGCAAGAGTAATATCAGAGGGGCCTGGAGACGTGACTGGTGAACAAAGAAAATGTTATTTTAGAGCCAGGAATGCCTTCCTTGTTCATTCTGGACCCTGTTTTGAAAGTGTCATATTTTTTAATTTTCGTGAAATTGGCCAAATTGCAAATTTCTGACCACGTTTTTGGGTAGTTGAAATCGGTAAATGGGCAGTTTCCTGTACTCAATCAATAGAACAAATGGAGTTCTAAAGAAATAGCTATGATTGTGGTCGACTGGAACAATGGAATTAGCCAAAAATAGGGCTGAAAGTGGGCGAAATCACTGATTCGTAAATATCGCCGAGGTCGCTAAATTTGCAAGAGCGTAATTCCATCAGTTTTCCATCAAATTTCGTTCTTTTGGTGTCGTTACAATTGGGAAAAGATTCTCTATCATTTCATAAGAAAAATTTTTTTTTTCGGAAATTTTCCGATACCAGGAAGCACCTCAGGATTTGGGTTGCGACAGTCAAGGGGTTAATATTTCCTGTAACGTATTTTTTTTTATCCACTTGTTAGCTTACATTTTCTTTTATTACAATTTGTTTGTGATTATTAGAGATAGATAATTTTTGAAATTTAATCGAATCCTGAAAAAATATCAGCTGTTAGATATTTTGTTTAAAAAATTGTAAGGTCATCTGGTTTAAACTTATTATAGAGGTACAGTATAGTGGGGTACCTTCAAGAAAAGTTGTAGTACGTTAATTTTTGAGTTCCAGACTATCATCTCAGAGTGATTGTTACTGAATCTCAATCAGTATTAGCTTCCTTAACTATCCTTACCTCTCAAGGAAAGCTTCTGTATGCTGGTGAGGAGCTTTTGATCCAAGGAATTGAACATATCCTCTTGAATCCCAATGCACTGTATGACTCCTATGGGTTTAGCACCTCCCCATGAATATAATAATACTATATCCTTAACCCTTTCAGGGCCGACATACCCTCTCCTAAACTTGTTCTCAGGGTTGGAAATTTTTCGAAAAAAAAAAAAAAAAATTATTTATTCTTATGAAATGATAGAGAATCTTTTCCCGATCATAATGACACCAAAAGTAAGAAATTTCATGGAAAATTGATGGAATTATGCTCTCACAAAGTTAGCGGTCTTGATGATGTTTACGCATCGGCGATTTCGCCCACTTTGAGCCCTATTTTCAGCTAGTTCCAATGTACCAGTTGACAAAAATCATAACTATTTTGCTAGAACTCCATTTTTTCTATCGATTGAGTACAAGAACCCACCATTTACTGATTTCAACTATCCAATAAAGTGGTCAGAAATTGACAATTTTGCCAATTTCACACAAATTTCAAAAGATGCCAATTTCCAAATAGGGTCCAGAATAAACAAGACAGACATTCCTGGCACTAAAATAACATTTTTTCTGTTCATTAGTCATGTCCCCAGGCCTCTCTTACATTTCTTTTGCTTTCCACTTTGAATTTTTATTCTCACAAAAAATAGAAGATTTACTGTTATGCAGACTACTGCATTAGTGTAGAAATGGTATAAATAATATCAGTGCACTTGTGAAAGAATATTAGACTCGCCAGTTGATGTGTTTTGGATGCGTGGCATGATTTGTTTACTTTTGAACTTACGCAAAAATCGAACATTTCTGCTACTTTGAGCTCAATTTCAAGGTACTTTTCATTGTGAAACCAATCAAAATCATCTCAATTTCTGTAATATGTCTTCCATTCTAAAGAATGAGACCAGGAAAACTAGAATACAACCATAAATAGCATACGAAAATACACTGCAAAGCTGCTGTTTTAACCCTTTGACTGTTTCAGGCTCCTCTCTGAAACTGTCATTCTATGTCGCTCAATTTTTTGAAAAAAAAAAATTATTTTTTCTTATGAAATGATAGAGAATCTTTTCCCGATGGTAATGACACCAAAAGTTCGAAATTTGGTCGAAAACTCATGGAATTATGCTCCCGCGAAGTTAGCGGTCTCGGCGACATATGCGTATCGGCGATTTCGCCGACTTTGAGCCCTATTTTCCGCCAATTCCATTGTTCCAGTTGACCAAACTCATAGCTATTTCTTTTGAACTCCATTTTATCTATCAGCTGAGTACAAGAAACCTCCCATTTACTAATTTGGACTACCCACTATGGTGGTCAGAAATTGGCAATTTGGCCAATTTCACGCAAACTAAAAAAGATGCCAATTTCAAAATAGGGTCCAGAATAAACAAGGTAGACATTCGTGGCACTAAAATAACATATGCTCTGTTCATTAGTCACATCTCTAGGCCCCTCTTATATTATTATTGCTTTCTATTTTGATTTTTTATTCATACAAAAAAATACAAAATTTACTGTTATGCAGACTACTGCATTATTGTAAAAATGGTATAAATAATATCAGTGCACTAGTGAAAGAATATTGGACTCCCCAGTTGACGTGTATTGGACGTGTGGTGTGATTTATTTACTCCTGAACATTGGTAAAAATCGAACATTTCTGCTACTTTGAGCTCAGTTTCGAGGTCGTTTTCATCGTCAAAGTAATGAAAATCATCTCTATTTCTGTAATATGTTTTCCATTTTATCACCTAAGACCATGAAAACGCGAATACAACGATAAATACTATACGAAAATACACCTCAAAGTCGGCGTTTTATTCCAAAAAAACGATCAGTTTTTTTTTTCTCATTACGCAATGTGTGCTACAGGATTTTTTTTATGTGGTGCACACTGACCACACAGACCCATTCTCTCACATGTGGGCCTACCAGCTTTCTCCTGCTTGATTTGAAGCCGCTAGAATTATTGAGTATATATACGTCAGAAACATTGGCTCGTAAGACGTATTTATACGTCGAAAACAGTCAAAGGGTTAAAGCAAAAACACGGTTGGATTTTTTTTCTCATTATGCACTGTTTGCTGCAGGATTTTTTTTATACTGTGCACACTGACCACATATACCCATTCTTTCATATGTAGGCCTACCAGCTTTCTCTCGCTAGATTTCAAGGCGCTAGAATTTATGCGTACTAGTACGGCCCCAACCCTGAAAGGGGTAAAGCCTCACATGAACTTGTGCCTTTCTACACTAGGGTACTAGAAGAGCCAGCTTAGGATAATGAGTTATATAATAATATGAAAAGGATAAAAGGAAGCCATTTTGTTGGAGATAATCCAGTGCCTGACTATATGACATAACTTCTCTTGCTTTTCTGTTTAACCTGTTAACCGTGACAAACTTACTAGTACGCAGGTAACAGGTATGTCTGACATTCTAGCGCACACAATACAGTGGAACCTCTACTTACAAGTTTAATCTGTTCCATGACCTTGCTCGCAACTGGATTTGCTAGTTTGCAGAGTCAATTTTCCTCATTTGGATTAATTGAAATGGAATTAATTCATTCCAGTGGAATTCCAGGCATGAGAAAACACTTTAATAATTTCCCTAATATCATCTCTACAGCTTATTTATCTATCATAATTCATGTAATATGACATAATAAACAATATTAATAACATAGAAACGTGATATATACACTAGAATTAATAAAATACATGTCATTAGGTATGTGGCTAGTTGTGGTGACAGCAGCCATTGTTGTTGGGGTTTATAGGGCCACAACAGTGGCCATTCCTGCTCCTGACTACATGTGTAGAGAACCTAGGATAACCCAAAAAAGTCAGACAGAGTGACTTATAAGTGCTACACTCTTAATGCTACACTTAATTGCTGCACTCTTTATGCTACACTTTGCCACTGCTGCTTTATGTTGTCTGCAACTGCTACCTCATGATGTCTGCCACTGCTGCTTCATGTTGTCTGTCACTGCCGCTTCATGTTGTCCGCCACTGCTACCTCATGTTGTCTGCCACTGCTGCTTCATGTTGACTGTCACTGCCACTTCATGTTGTCTGCCACTGCTGCTTCATGTTGTCTGCCACTGCTGCTTCATGTTGTCTGCCACTTCTACCTCATGATGTCTGC